AACTTTTTTTCTTTCAGTGGTATTAATAGAATACATGTTGTGCGTGCAAAGCTGCATAGTGATCTCTCGTGATGAAAAAAACACACCAGAGTATAAGTCGCATGGCCGGCTAAACCATGAAAAAAAAAAAACGTGACTTATAGTCCGGAAAATACGGTAACGATTTAGTTAAGAGAGCAAAATTTTAAACCAAATTCAAATATTGTGTTATTTCCTCCATGTAATAAAATATCTCCGTTCCAGTCTGAATACTGACGTTTTGACGTAGGGGTCAGAGAAGCCGTTTGCATCCATGGCAGCAAGGTGTGCGCAGCGTATGATGCCTACTACCAGGCAGGACTTCTGGGTGTTGTACTTGAGAGAAATCATTATCCGTCCCCGTTCCTCCAGAGACTTGTCCTCTGTTTTGTTGACCTGAAAAGAAAAGAGAAAACAAAAGATTCATTAATACCAGAAATTATAAAGACTCATCGAGACCGAGTGAAGATGATTTGAACCATAGTTTCTGAGCATTTTGAACCTCAGTCAGTTAGACGGGTGTCCTTTGGTTTGTTGAAGTGAGCACAGCTGGATTATCTGACTGATGTTATGCAGCAGCAGCACCAGTCAATGCTCAAATTTTGCTCTCAGGACTGACTCTAATTGAATCCATTCAATTAAAGTCGGTTTACTTATATAGCGGCATTTCAGAACACATGTCGTCTCAAGAGACTCTATAGAAACAATTCAACCAGATCATAAGGAATATCTAAGGAAAACTAGCTGATTGCATCGACTCATTGACTGGAAAGCAATCCCTCACACCAAGCATGCATATAACGACAGTGGAGAGGAAAAACTCCAGCAGAAACCAGCTGAGGACGACTGGGTTTCACATGCAAGAACACACTTAAACGCCTCAGATGAAAGTGAGGAGCAGGTCATCTTTCCAGGTAGACAGACGCCCATGAGATACATCTCAACTAGAGCTGCAACTAACGGCTATTTTGCTAATCGAGTAGTCTGTTTTTAATTTTCTTTTTCAATTAAACGGATTAATAAATGTGTGGCTAAAGGTTCCTAAAGAAGAGTTTTAAAATAATTAATCCAAGTGAGGCTAGAACTTTTTTAATAATGGAGTTCTGGATAGAGCAAATTGACAGACAAAAACATTTGGTATATTTACTGCTCTAAGTGGGTTGCTCTATCAGCTAAAGGTCGGGTTTAGAGTCTATACTCTAGTTAACGGATAATTGTAACTAAATTAGTTGACAATTATTTCCATAATCAATTAATCTGTAGATAAAGTTGTTCGATTAATCCATCGATAAACCTATAGCCAAAGGTTCCTAAAGAAGAGTTTTAAAAGAATTATTCCAGGTGAAACTAAAACTTTTCCACTTATGGAGTTCTGGATTAAGCATATTAACAGATAAAAAAGTTTTTATTGTCTTAAATGCAAAATATATATATATTTTTGAACAATTTTAGTATAATCGATGGTATATTATTTCCATGATCTATTAATCACAATTGATCTGATTCATTGTTTCCGCCCTAAACTCAACCAAAGGGGATTAAGTTATTAAGAATGGCGTTCTGTTCTTCCCCTCAGTTAGAAAACAGCCAACGTTTAGCTAATAATCAACATTCAAAATAAGGTATTTTATTTTCAATGCAAATAAATCACTTTCCATTTCAGATATGAATCAACATAAGATTAGACATCAGTTCTTTTATTAAAGAATGAAGTTTCCTAATCTGAGTCCTAATCTGATCAGACGACTACAGTTTCACTCAGAGGTTGTTTCTACCTAACGAGTACATTTTTAAAATATGGTGGATATCTTGCTAAGAAAATGGCAAATACAAAGATGCATGAGATGCATCTAAATGGAAATGAATATTTGTGAAATGGGTGCATGAAATTATGAAGAAGAAAACAGTCTGAGTAGTCATAAGGATTCATTAAAAAACAGAGGAAGAAAAAAATATGTATAAAGAAATATACAGAGAGGTTTAGCTGAGGCCTCAGTGTTAAAGAGTATTTTTAAAATAAAATGAAAAAAAAAATTTATTTGCCATAGAAAGCTGATTTTTTTGAGAGAACTGATTAGTATCTTGACATTTGCAGATCATGAATATCAATGGTCCGATCAGTGGCGGTTCTAGACCAAATGTACCAGGGGGCCAGGAGGGGGCCAGCGTTTTTTCAAGAGGGCCCAGAAAAAAATGAAATAAAAAAAAAAGGGCAAGGGATTCAAATACATAAAGAGAGTTGCATAATAATAATAATAATAA